GAACTCGTGCCTGAAAGCCATTTCTCTGAGTTTTGAGTGGGCGCATGTTGCCAGTATGCTGCGTTGCTGTTTACATGCATGAAAAGTGTGTTTGAGAACGAGTCTGATTGCAATGGCGCTGCAGGTAAGTCTCCCTGGCCTTCACTCAATCTCTCTCTCTCTCTCTCCAGTACCACTCTAGCTCCTACTAGCGCCCAGCGCTGAAGACTACTGCTAATGCTACTAGCGCCCAGCGCTGAAGACTACTGCTAGCGCTACTACTACTCCTGCAGCGCTCCTCCAGAGTGCTGCTGCTGCCGAATCCTGAAGACTACCTCCTGCCTCCTGAACTGCACATGAAGTGCCTGGGAAGTACCTAGGAACTACCTGCAGCCTGCAGGGCGGGCCAGTCTTATTTAGTGATGGCCCGTCCAGGAGGCTGCTCTTGCCAATGCCAAAACGTGCCAGACCCTGGGGTTGAAGCTCAAACAAAGGTTGTCTTGAAAATAGGCCAAAAATGGCCTGAGGAAAAACCCTGGTCTGGTGCCTAAGTTTCAGGGCAGGTCGATCTTATGAGGGCCTGAAAATGGCCCTCCGTTTCAGGCTGAAAAAGCTCAGGGCCTGGAAGGCCCTGTTTTAGACTGAAACGACACAGGGCCTGTAGGCCCTTGTTTTCAGGCTTTCAGGCTGAAACGACACAGGGCCTGTAGGCCCTTGTTTTCAGGCTTTCGGGCTGAAAACGTCACGGGCCTGAAAATGGCCCGTGCAGCAGCCTGTTGCAGGCGCAGCATGTAACATGGGGCACTTGTGCGCTATCTGTGAGTGGCTAGAGCTGGAGCCCTGCTGGGCAGCGCTGTGCTGAGGAAGGGAAGCAGCCATAGCCGAGTAGCTAGTAGTAGGAGATAGAGCTGAGTAGTAGCGGATGTATCCAGAGCATACTTGCAAGCGGACACCGTGTGGGCGGTTCCCTATGTGCGGCACACACGCCCAACCGATCCCGTGCGACGCACGGCGTGTGTGGGGAACGACCCGCCCCCTCAGAAAAAAAAAAAAAAAAAGAAGGCCAGGGTCAAAACGGTGTGTTTGAGGCCCCCCACCAAAATCATAAGCGGGATGAAAAAAAACCTACAGGAGTGCTGCCTGACCTTGCTCCTCCTCCCCTTCCTCATCCTCCATGTCTCCTCCTCCCTTCTCCTTTCCGTCTCCTCCGACTCATCCTCCTCCTGTTCGTCCTCCTCCTCCTGCCCTTCCTCATCCTCCTTGTCTCCTCCTCCTCCTCGTACTTCCTCATCTTCCATGCCTCCTCGTGTCCTCCCCTTCCTCGCCGTCCATGTCTCCTCCTCCTCCCACTCGTCCTCCTCCTCCTGCCCTTCCTCATCCTCCTTGTCTCCTCCTCCTCCTCGTACTTCCTCATCTTCCATGCCTCCTCGTGTCCTCCCCTTCCTCGCCGTCCATGTCTCCTCCTCCTCCCACTCGTCCTCCTCCTCCTGCCCTTCCTCATCCTCCTTGTCTCCTCCTCCTCCTCGTACTTCCTCATCTTCCATGCCTCCTCGTGTCCTCCCCTTCCTCGCCGTCCATGTCTCCTCCTCCTCCCACTCGTCCTCCTCCTCCTGCCCTTCCTCATCCTCCTTGTCTCCTCCTCCTCCTCGTACTTCCTCATCTTCCATGCCTCCTCGTGTCCTCCCCTTCCTCGCCGTCCATGTCTCCTCCTCCTCCCACTCGTCCTCCTCCTCCTGCCCTTCCTCATCCTCCTTGTCTCCTCCTCCTCCTCGTACTTCCTCATCTTCCATGCCTCCTCGTGTCCTCCCCTTCCTCGCCGTCCATGTCTCCTCCTCCTCCCACTCGTCCTCCTCCTCCTGCCCTTCCTCATCCTCCTTGTCTCCTCCTCCTCCTCGTACTTCCTCATCTTCCATGCCTCCTCGTGTCCTCCCCTTCCTCGCCGTCCATGTCTCCTCCTCCTCCCACTCGTCCTCCTCCTCCTGCCCTTCCTCATCCTCCTTGTCTCCTCCTCCTCCTCGTACTTCCTCATCTTCCATGCCTCCTCGTGTCCTCCCCTTCCTCGCCGTCCATGTCTCCTCCTCCTCCCACTCGTCCTCCTCCTCCTGCCCTTCCTCATCCTCCTTGTCTCCTCCTCCTCCTCGTACTTCCTCATCTTCCATGCCTCCTCGTGTCCTCCCCTTCCTCGCCGTCCATGTCTCCTCCTCCTCCCACTCGTCCTCCTCCTCCTGCCCTTCCTCATCCTCCTTGTCTCCTCCTCCTCCTCGTACTTCCTCATCTTCCATGCCTCCTCGTGTCCTCCCCTTCCTCGCCGTCCATGTCTCCTCCTCCTCCCACTCGTCCTCCTCCTCCTGCCCTTCCTCATCCTCCTTGTCTCCTCCTCCTCCTCGTACTTCCTCATCTTCCATGCCTCCTCGTGTCCTCCCCTTCCTCGCCGTCCATGTCTCCTCCTCCTCCCACTCGTCCTCCTCCTCCTGCCCTTCCTCATCCTCCTTGTCTCCTCCTCCTCCTCGTACTTCCTCATCTTCCATGCCTCCTCGTGTCCTCCCCTTCCTCGCCGTCCATGTCTCCTCCTCCTCCCACTCGTCCTCCTCCTCCTGCCCTTCCTCATCCTCCTTGTCTCCTCCTCCTCCTCGTACTTCCTCATCTTCCATGCCTCCTCGTGTCCTCCCCTTCCTCGCCGTCCATGTCTCCTCCTCCTCCCACTCGTCCTCCTCCTCCTGCCCTTCCTCATCCTCCTTGTCTCCTCCTCCTCCTCGTACTTCCTCATCTTCCATGCCTCCTCGTGTCCTCCCCTTCCTCGCCGTCCATGTCTCCTCCTCCTCCCACTCGTCCTCCTCCTCCTGCCCTTCCTCATCCTCCTTGTCTCCTCCTCCTCCTCGTACTTCCTCATCTTCCATGCCTCCTCGTGTCCTCCCCTTCCTCGCCGTCCATGTCTCCTCCTCCTCCCACTCGTCCTCCTCCTCCTGCCCTTCCTCATCCTCCTTGTCTCCTCCTCCTCCTCGTACTTCCTCATCTTCCATGCCTCCTCGTGTCCTCCCCTTCCTCGCCGTCCATGTCTCCTCCTCCTCCCACTCGTCCTCCTCCTCCTGCCCTTCCTCATCCTCCTTGTCTCCTCCTCCTCCTCGTACTTCCTCATCTTCCATGCCTCCTCGTGTCCTCCCCTTCCTCGCCGTCCATGTCTCCTCCTCCTCCCACTCGTCCTCCTCCTCCTGCCCTTCCTCATCCTCCTTGTCTCCTCCTCCTCCTCGTACTTCCTCATCTTCCATGCCTCCTCGTGTCCTCCCCTTCCTCGCCGTCCATGTCTCCTCCTCCTCCCACTCGTCCTCCTCCTCCTGCCCTTCCTCATCCTCCTTGTCTCCTCCTCCTCCTCGTACTTCCTCATCTTCCATGCCTCCTCGTGTCCTCCCCTTCCTCGCCGTCCATGTCTCCTCCTCCTCCCACTCGTCCTCCTCCTCCTGCCCTTCCTCATCCTCCTTGTCTCCTCCTCCTCCTCGTACTTCCTCATCTTCCATGCCTCCTCGTGTCCTCCCCTTCCTCGCCGTCCATGTCTCCTCCTCCTCCCACTCGTCCTCCTCCTCCTGCCCTTCCTCATCCTCCTTGTCTCCTCCTCCTCCTCGTACTTCCTCATCTTCCATGCCTCCTCGTGTCCTCCCCTTCCTCGCCGTCCATGTCTCCTCCTCCTCCCACTCGTCCTCCTCCTCCTGCCCTTCCTCATCCTCCTTGTCTCCTCCTCCTCCTCGTACTTCCTCATCTTCCATGCCTCCTCGTGTCCTCCCCTTCCTCGCCGTCCATGTCTCCTCCTCCTCCCACTCGTCCTCCTCCTCCTGCCCTTCCTCATCCTCCTTGTCTCCTCCTCCTCCTCGTACTTCCTCATCTTCCATGCCTCCTCGTGTCCTCCCCTTCCTCGCCGTCCATGTCTCCTCCTCCTCCCACTCGTCCTCCTCCTCCTGCCCTTCCTCATCCTCCTTGTCTCCTCCTCCTCCTCGTACTTCCTCATCTTCCATGCCTCCTCGTGTCCTCCCCTTCCTCGCCGTCCATGTCTCCTCCTCCTCCCACTCGTCCTCCTCCTCCTGCCCTTCCTCATCCTCCTTGTCTCCTCCTCCTCCTCGTACTTCCTCATCTTCCATGCCTCCTCGTGTCCTCCCCTTCCTCGCCGTCCATGTCTCCTCCTCCTCCCACTCGTCCTCCTCCTCCTGCCCTTCCTCATCCTCCTTGTCTCCTCCTCCTCCTCGTACTTCCTCATCTTCCATGCCTCCTCGTGTCCTCCCCTTCCTCGCCGTCCATGTCTCCTCCTCCTCCCACTCGTCCTCCTCCTCCTGCCCTTCCTCATCCTCCTTGTCTCCTCCTCCTCCTCGTACTTCCTCATCTTCCATGCCTCCTCGTGTCCTCCCCTTCCTCGCCGTCCATGTCTCCTCCTCCTCCCACTCGTCCTCCTCCTCCTGCCCTTCCTCATCCTCCTTGTCTCCTCCTCCTCCTCGTACTTCCTCATCTTCCATGCCTCCTCGTGTCCTCCCCTTCCTCGCCGTCCATGTCTCCTCCTCCTCCCACTCGTCCTCCTCCTCCTGCCCTTCCTCATCCTCCTTGTCTCCTCCTCCTCCTCGTACTTCCTCATCTTCCATGCCTCCTCGTGTCCTCCCCTTCCTCGCCGTCCATGTCTCCTCCTCCTCCCACTCGTCCTCCTCCTCCTGCCCTTCCTCATCCTCCTTGTCTCCTCCTCCTCCTCGTACTTCCTCATCTTCCATGCCTCCTCGTGTCCTCCCCTTCCTCGCCGTCCATGTCTCCTCCTCCTCCCACTCGTCCTCCTCCTCCTGCCCTTCCTCATCCTCCTTGTCTCCTCCTCCTCCTCGTACTTCCTCATCTTCCATGCCTCCTCGTGTCCTCCCCTTCCTCGCCGTCCATGTCTCCTCCTCCTCCCACTCGTCCTCCTCCTCCTGCCCTTCCTCATCCTCCTTGTCTCCTCCTCCTCCTCGTACTTCCTCATCTTCCATGCCTCCTCGTGTCCTCCCCTTCCTCGCCGTCCATGTCTCCTCCTCCTCCCACTCGTCCTCCTCCTCCTGCCCTTCCTCATCCTCCTTGTCTCCTCCTCCTCCTCGTACTTCCTCATCTTCCATGCCTCCTCGTGTCCTCCCCTTCCTCGCCGTCCATGTCTCCTCCTCCTCCCACTCGTCCTCCTCCTCCTGCCCTTCCTCATCCTCCTTGTCTCCTCCTCCTCCTCGTACTTCCTCATCTTCCATGCCTCCTCGTGTCCTCCCCTTCCTCGCCGTCCATGTCTCCTCCTCCTCCCACTCGTCCTCCTCCTCCTGCCCTTCCTCATCCTCCTTGTCTCCTCCTCCTCCTCGTACTTCCTCATCTTCCATGCCTCCTCGTGTCCTCCCCTTCCTCGCCGTCCATGTCTCCTCCTCCTCCCACTCGTCCTCCTCCTCCTGCCCTTCCTCATCCTCCTTGTCTCCTCCTCCTCCTCGTACTTCCTCATCTTCCATGCCTCCTCGTGTCCTCCCCTTCCTCGCCGTCCATGTCTCCTCCTCCTCCCACTCGTCCTCCTCCTCCTGCCCTTCCTCATCCTCCTTGTCTCCTCCTCCTCCTCGTACTTCCTCATCTTCCATGCCTCCTCGTGTCCTCCCCTTCCTCGCCGTCCATGTCTCCTCCTCCTCCCACTCGTCCTCCTCCTCCTGCCCTTCCTCATCCTCCTTGTCTCCTCCTCCTCCTCGTACTTCCTCATCTTCCATGCCTCCTCGTGTCCTCCCCTTCCTCGCCGTCCATGTCTCCTCCTCCTCCCACTCGTCCTCCTCCTCCTGCCCTTCCTCATCCTCCTTGTCTCCTCCTCCTCCTCGTACTTCCTCATCTTCCATGCCTCCTCGTGTCCTCCCCTTCCTCGCCGTCCATGTCTCCTCCTCCTCCCACTCGTCCTCCTCCTCCTGCCCTTCCTCATCCTCCTTGTCTCCTCCTCCTCCTCGTACTTCCTCATCTTCCATGCCTCCTCGTGTCCTCCCCTTCCTCGCCGTCCATGTCTCCTCCTCCTCCCACTCGTCCTCCTCCTCCTGCCCTTCCTCATCCTCCTTGTCTCCTCCTCCTCCTCGTACTTCCTCATCTTCCATGCCTCCTCGTGTCCTCCCCTTCCTCGCCGTCCATGTCTCCTCCTCCTCCCACTCGTCCTCCTCCTCCTGCCCTTCCTCATCCTCCTTGTCTCCTCCTCCTCCTCGTACTTCCTCATCTTCCATGCCTCCTCGTGTCCTCCCCTTCCTCGCCGTCCATGTCTCCTCCTCCTCCCACTCGTCCTCCTCCTCCTGCCCTTCCTCATCCTCCTTGTCTCCTCCTCCTCCTCGTACTTCCTCATCTTCCATGCCTCCTCGTGTCCTCCCCTTCCTCGCCGTCCATGTCTCCTCCTCCTCCCACTCGTCCTCCTCCTCCTGCCCTTCCTCATCCTCCTTGTCTCCTCCTCCTCCTCGTACTTCCTCATCTTCCATGCCTCCTCGTGTCCTCCCCTTCCTCGCCGTCCATGTCTCCTCCTCCTCCCACTCGTCCTCCTCCTCCTGCCCTTCCTCATCCTCCTTGTCTCCTCCTCCTCCTCGTACTTCCTCATCTTCCATGCCTCCTCGTGTCCTCCCCTTCCTCGCCGTCCATGTCTCCTCCTCCTCCCACTCGTCCTCCTCCTCCTGCCCTTCCTCATCCTCCTTGTCTCCTCCTCCTCCTCGTACTTCCTCATCTTCCATGCCTCCTCGTGTCCTCCCCTTCCTCGCCGTCCATGTCTCCTCCTCCTCCCACTCGTCCTCCTCCTCCTGCCCTTCCTCATCCTCCTTGTCTCCTCCTCCTCCTCGTACTTCCTCATCTTCCATGCCTCCTCGTGTCCTCCCCTTCCTCGCCGTCCATGTCTCCTCCTCCTCCCACTCGTCCTCCTCCTCCTGCCCTTCCTCATCCTCCTTGTCTCCTCCTCCTCCTCGTACTTCCTCATCTTCCATGCCTCCTCGTGTCCTCCCCTTCCTCGCCGTCCATGTCTCCTCCTCCTCCCACTCGTCCTCCTCCTCCTGCCCTTCCTCATCCTCCTTGTCTCCTCCTCCTCCTCGTACTTCCTCATCTTCCATGCCTCCTCGTGTCCTCCCCTTCCTCGCCGTCCATGTCTCCTCCTCCTCCCACTCGTCCTCCTCCTCCTGCCCTTCCTCATCCTCCTTGTCTCCTCCTCCTCCTCGTACTTCCTCATCTTCCATGCCTCCTCGTGTCCTCCCCTTCCTCGCCGTCCATGTCTCCTCCTCCTCCCACTCGTCCTCCTCCTCCTGCCCTTCCTCATCCTCCTTGTCTCCTCCTCCTCCTCGTACTTCCTCATCTTCCATGCCTCCTCGTGTCCTCCCCTTCCTCGCCGTCCATGTCTCCTCCTCCTCCCACTCGTCCTCCTCCTCCTGCCCTTCCTCATCCTCCTTGTCTCCTCCTCCTCCTCGTACTTCCTCATCTTCCATGCCTCCTCGTGTCCTCCCCTTCCTCGCCGTCCATGTCTCCTCCTCCTCCCACTCGTCCTCCTCCTCCTGCCCTTCCTCATCCTCCTTGTCTCCTCCTCCTCCTCGTACTTCCTCATCTTCCATGCCTCCTCGTGTCCTCCCCTTCCTCGCCGTCCATGTCTCCTCCTCCTCCCACTCGTCCTCCTCCTCCTGCCCTTCCTCATCCTCCTTGTCTCCTCCTCCTCCTCGTACTTCCTCATCTTCCATGCCTCCTCGTGTCCTCCCCTTCCTCGCCGTCCATGTCTCCTCCTCCTCCCACTCGTCCTCCTCCTCCTGCCCTTCCTCATCCTCCTTGTCTCCTCCTCCTCCTCGTACTTCCTCATCTTCCATGCCTCCTCGTGTCCTCCCCTTCCTCGCCGTCCATGTCTCCTCCTCCTCCCACTCGTCCTCCTCCTCCTGCCCTTCCTCATCCTCCTTGTCTCCTCCTCCTCCTCGTACTTCCTCATCTTCCATGCCTCCTCGTGTCCTCCCCTTCCTCGCCGTCCATGTCTCCTCCTCCTCCCACTCGTCCTCCTCCTCCTGCCCTTCCTCATCCTCCTTGTCTCCTCCTCCTCCTCGTACTTCCTCATCTTCCATGCCTCCTCGTGTCCTCCCCTTCCTCGCCGTCCATGTCTCCTCCTCCTCCCACTCGTCCTCCTCCTCCTGCCCTTCCTCATCCTCCTTGTCTCCTCCTCCTCCTCGTACTTCCTCATCTTCCATGCCTCCTCGTGTCCTCCCCTTCCTCGCCGTCCATGTCTCCTCCTCCTCCCACTCGTCCTCCTCCTCCTGCCCTTCCTCATCCTCCTTGTCTCCTCCTCCTCCTCGTACTTCCTCATCTTCCATGCCTCCTCGTGTCCTCCCCTTCCTCGCCGTCCATGTCTCCTCCTCCTCCCACTCGTCCTCCTCCTCCTGCCCTTCCTCATCCTCCTTGTCTCCTCCTCCTCCTCGTACTTCCTCATCTTCCATGCCTCCTCGTGTCCTCCCCTTCCTCGCCGTCCATGTCTCCTCCTCCTCCCACTCGTCCTCCTCCTCCTGCCCTTCCTCATCCTCCTTGTCTCCTCCTCCTCCTCGTACTTCCTCATCTTCCATGCCTCCTCGTGTCCTCCCCTTCCTCGCCGTCCATGTCTCCTCCTCCTCCCACTCGTCCTCCTCCTCCTGCCCTTCCTCATCCTCCTTGTCTCCTCCTCCTCCTCGTACTTCCTCATCTTCCATGCCTCCTCGTGTCCTCCCCTTCCTCGCCGTCCATGTCTCCTCCTCCTCCCACTCGTCCTCCTCCTCCTGCCCTTCCTCATCCTCCTTGTCTCCTCCTCCTCCTCGTACTTCCTCATCTTCCATGCCTCCTCGTGTCCTCCCCTTCCTCGCCGTCCATGTCTCCTCCTCCTCCCACTCGTCCTCCTCCTCCTGCCCTTCCTCATCCTCCTTGTCTCCTCCTCCTCCTCGTACTTCCTCATCTTCCATGCCTCCTCGTGTCCTCCCCTTCCTCGCCGTCCATGTCTCCTCCTCCTCCCACTCGTCCTCCTCCTCCTGCCCTTCCTCATCCTCCTTGTCTCCTCCTCCTCCTCGTACTTCCTCATCTTCCATGCCTCCTCGTGTCCTCCCCTTCCTCGCCGTCCATGTCTCCTCCTCCTCCCACTCGTCCTCCTCCTCCTGCCCTTCCTCATCCTCCTTGTCTCCTCCTCCTCCTCGTACTTCCTCATCTTCCATGCCTCCTCGTGTCCTCCCCTTCCTCGCCGTCCATGTCTCCTCCTCCTCCCACTCGTCCTCCTCCTCCTGCCCTTCCTCATCCTCCTTGTCTCCTCCTCCTCCTCGTACTTCCTCATCTTCCATGCCTCCTCGTGTCCTCCCCTTCCTCGCCGTCCATGTCTCCTCCTCCTCCCACTCGTCCTCCTCCTCCTGCCCTTCCTCATCCTCCTTGTCTCCTCCTCCTCCTCGTACTTCCTCATCTTCCATGCCTCCTCGTGTCCTCCCCTTCCTCGCCGTCCATGTCTCCTCCTCCTCCCACTCGTCCTCCTCCTCCTGCCCTTCCTCATCCTCCTTGTCTCCTCCTCCTCCTCGTACTTCCTCATCTTCCATGCCTCCTCGTGTCCTCCCCTTCCTCGCCGTCCATGTCTCCTCCTCCTCCCACTCGTCCTCCTCCTCCTGCCCTTCCTCATCCTCCTTGTCTCCTCCTCCTCCTCGTACTTCCTCATCTTCCATGCCTCCTCGTGTCCTCCCCTTCCTCGCCGTCCATGTCTCCTCCTCCTCCCACTCGTCCTCCTCCTCCTGCCCTTCCTCATCCTCCTTGTCTCCTCCTCCTCCTCGTACTTCCTCATCTTCCATGCCTCCTCGTGTCCTCCCCTTCCTCGCCGTCCATGTCTCCTCCTCCTCCCACTCGTCCTCCTCCTCCTGCCCTTCCTCATCCTCCTTGTCTCCTCCTCCTCCTCGTACTTCCTCATCTTCCATGCCTCCTCGTGTCCTCCCCTTCCTCGCCGTCCATGTCTCCTCCTCCTCCCACTCGTCCTCCTCCTCCTGCCCTTCCTCATCCTCCTTGTCTCCTCCTCCTCCTCGTACTTCCTCATCTTCCATGCCTCCTCGTGTCCTCCCCTTCCTCGCCGTCCATGTCTCCTCCTCCTCCCACTCGTCCTCCTCCTCCTGCCCTTCCTCATCCTCCTTGTCTCCTCCTCCTCCTCGTACTTCCTCATCTTCCATGCCTCCTCGTGTCCTCCCCTTCCTCGCCGTCCATGTCTCCTCCTCCTCCCACTCGTCCTCCTCCTCCTGCCCTTCCTCATCCTCCTTGTCTCCTCCTCCTCCTCGTACTTCCTCATCTTCCATGCCTCCTCGTGTCCTCCCCTTCCTCGCCGTCCATGTCTCCTCCTCCTCCCACTCGTCCTCCTCCTCCTGCCCTTCCTCATCCTCCTTGTCTCCTCCTCCTCCTCGTACTTCCTCATCTTCCATGCCTCCTCGTGTCCTCCCCTTCCTCGCCGTCCATGTCTCCTCCTCCTCCCACTCGTCCTCCTCCTCCTGCCCTTCCTCATCCTCCTTGTCTCCTCCTCCTCCTCGTACTTCCTCATCTTCCATGCCTCCTCGTGTCCTCCCCTTCCTCGCCGTCCATGTCTCCTCCTCCTCCCACTCGTCCTCCTCCTCCTGCCCTTCCTCATCCTCCTTGTCTCCTCCTCCTCCTCGTACTTCCTCATCTTCCATGCCTCCTCGTGTCCTCCCCTTCCTCGCCGTCCATGTCTCCTCCTCCTCCCACTCGTCCTCCTCCTCCTGCCCTTCCTCATCCTCCTTGTCTCCTCCTCCTCCTCGTACTTCCTCATCTTCCATGCCTCCTCGTGTCCTCCCCTTCCTCGCCGTCCATGTCTCCTCCTCCTCCCACTCGTCCTCCTCCTCCTGCCCTTCCTCATCCTCCTTGTCTCCTCCTCCTCCTCGTACTTCCTCATCTTCCATGCCTCCTCGTGTCCTCCCCTTCCTCGCCGTCCATGTCTCCTCCTCCTCCCACTCGTCCTCCTCCTCCTGCCCTTCCTCATCCTCCTTGTCTCCTCCTCCTCCTCGTACTTCCTCATCTTCCATGCCTCCTCGTGTCCTCCCCTTCCTCGCCGTCCATGTCTCCTCCTCCTCCCACTCGTCCTCCTCCTCCTGCCCTTCCTCATCCTCCTTGTCTCCTCCTCCTCCTCGTACTTCCTCATCTTCCATGCCTCCTCGTGTCCTCCCCTTCCTCGCCGTCCATGTCTCCTCCTCCTCCCACTCGTCCTCCTCCTCCTGCCCTTCCTCATCCTCCTTGTCTCCTCCTCCTCCTCGTACTTCCTCATCTTCCATGCCTCCTCGTGTCCTCCCCTTCCTCGCCGTCCATGTCTCCTCCTCCTCCCACTCGTCCTCCTCCTCCTGCCCTTCCTCATCCTCCTTGTCTCCTCCTCCTCCTCGTACTTCCTCATCTTCCATGCCTCCTCGTGTCCTCCCCTTCCTCGCCGTCCATGTCTCCTCCTCCTCCCACTCGTCCTCCTCCTCCTGCCCTTCCTCATCCTCCTTGTCTCCTCCTCCTCCTCGTACTTCCTCATCTTCCATGCCTCCTCGTGTCCTCCCCTTCCTCGCCGTCCATGTCTCCTCCTCCTCCCACTCGTCCTCCTCCTCCTGCCCTTCCTCATCCTCCTTGTCTCCTCCTCCTCCTCGTACTTCCTCATCTTCCATGCCTCCTCGTGTCCTCCCCTTCCTCGCCGTCCATGTCTCCTCCTCCTCCCACTCGTCCTCCTCCTCCTGCCCTTCCTCATCCTCCTTGTCTCCTCCTCCTCCTCGTACTTCCTCATCTTCCATGCCTCCTCGTGTCCTCCCCTTCCTCGCCGTCCATGTCTCCTCCTCCTCCCACTCGTCCTCCTCCTCCTGCCCTTCCTCATCCTCCTTGTCTCCTCCTCCTCCTCGTACTTCCTCATCTTCCATGCCTCCTCGTGTCCTCCCCTTCCTCGCCGTCCATGTCTCCTCCTCCTCCCACTCGTCCTCCTCCTCCTGCCCTTCCTCATCCTCCTTGTCTCCTCCTCCTCCTCGTACTTCCTCATCTTCCATGCCTCCTCGTGTCCTCCCCTTCCTCGCCGTCCATGTCTCCTCCTCCTCCCACTCGTCCTCCTCCTCCTGCCCTTCCTCATCCTCCTTGTCTCCTCCTCCTCCTCGTACTTCCTCATCTTCCATGCCTCCTCGTGTCCTCCCCTTCCTCGCCGTCCATGTCTCCTCCTCCTCCCACTCGTCCTCCTCCTCCTGCCCTTCCTCATCCTCCTTGTCTCCTCCTCCTCCTCGTACTTCCTCATCTTCCATGCCTCCTCGTGTCCTCCCCTTCCTCGCCGTCCATGTCTCCTCCTCCTCCCACTCGTCCTCCTCCTCCTGCCCTTCCTCATCCTCCTTGTCTCCTCCTCCTCCTCGTACTTCCTCATCTTCCATGCCTCCTCGTGTCCTCCCCTTCCTCGCCGTCCATGTCTCCTCCTCCTCCCACTCGTCCTCCTCCTCCTGCCCTTCCTCATCCTCCTTGTCTCCTCCTCCTCCTCGTACTTCCTCATCTTCCATGCCTCCTCGTGTCCTCCCCTTCCTCGCCGTCCATGTCTCCTCCTCCTCCCACTCGTCCTCCTCCTCCTGCCCTTCCTCATCCTCCTTGTCTCCTCCTCCTCCTCGTACTTCCTCATCTTCCATGCCTCCTCGTGTCCTCCCCTTCCTCGCCGTCCATGTCTCCTCCTCCTCCCACTCGTCCTCCTCCTCCTGCCCTTCCTCATCCTCCTTGTCTCCTCCTCCTCCTCGTACTTCCTCATCTTCCATGCCTCCTCGTGTCCTCCCCTTCCTCGCCGTCCATGTCTCCTCCTCCTCCCACTCGTCCTCCTCCTCCTGCCCTTCCTCATCCTCCTTGTCTCCTCCTCCTCCTCGTACTTCCTCATCTTCCATGCCTCCTCGTGTCCTCCCCTTCCTCGCCGTCCATGTCTCCTCCTCCTCCCACTCGTCCTCCTCCTCCTGCCCTTCCTCATCCTCCTTGTCTCCTCCTCCTCCTCGTACTTCCTCATCTTCCATGCCTCCTCGTGTCCTCCCCTTCCTCGCCGTCCATGTCTCCTCCTCCTCCCACTCGTCCTCCTCCTCCTGCCCTTCCTCATCCTCCTTGTCTCCTCCTCCTCCTCGTACTTCCTCATCTTCCATGCCTCCTCGTGTCCTCCCCTTCCTCGCCGTCCATGTCTCCTCCTCCTCCCACTCGTCCTCCTCCTCCTGCCCTTCCTCATCCTCCTTGTCTCCTCCTCCTCCTCGTACTTCCTCATCTTCCATGCCTCCTCGTGTCCTCCCCTTCCTCGCCGTCCATGTCTCCTCCTCCTCCCACTCGTCCTCCTCCTCCTGCCCTTCCTCATCCTCCTTGTCTCCTCCTCCTCCTCGTACTTCCTCATCTTCCATGCCTCCTCGTGTCCTCCCCTTCCTCGCCGTCCATGTCTCCTCCTCCTCCCACTCGTCCTCCTCCTCCTGCCCTTCCTCATCCTCCTTGTCTCCTCCTCCTCCTCGTACTTCCTCATCTTCCATGCCTCCTCGTGTCCTCCCCTTCCTCGCCGTCCATGTCTCCTCCTCCTCCCACTCGTCCTCCTCCTCCTGCCCTTCCTCATCCTCCTTGTCTCCTCCTCCTCCTCGTACTTCCTCATCTTCCATGCCTCCTCGTGTCCTCCCCTTCCTCGCCGTCCATGTCTCCTCCTCCTCCCACTCGTCCTCCTCCTCCTGCCCTTCCTCATCCTCCTTGTCTCCTCCTCCTCCTCGTACTTCCTCATCTTCCATGCCTCCTCGTGTCCTCCCCTTCCTCGCCGTCCATGTCTCCTCCTCCTCCCACTCGTCCTCCTCCTCCTGCCCTTCCTCATCCTCCTTGTCTCCTCCTCCTCCTCGTACTTCCTCATCTTCCATGCCTCCTCGTGTCCTCCCCTTCCTCGCCGTCCATGTCTCCTCCTCCTCCCACTCGTCCTCCTCCTCCTGCCCTTCCTCATCCTCCTTGTCTCCTCCTCCTCCTCGTACTTCCTCATCTTCCATGCCTCCTCGTGTCCTCCCCTTCCTCGCCGTCCATGTCTCCTCCTCCTCCCACTCGTCCTCCTCCTCCTGCCCTTCCTCATCCTCCTTGTCTCCTCCTCCTCCTCGTACTTCCTCATCTTCCATGCCTCCTCGTGTCCTCCCCTTCCTCGCCGTCCATGTCTCCTCCTCCTCCCACTCGTCCTCCTCCTCCTGCCCTTCCTCATCCTCCTTGTCTCCTCCTCCTCCTCGTACTTCCTCATCTTCCATGCCTCCTCGTGTCCTCCCCTTCCTCGCCGTCCATGTCTCCTCCTCCTCCCACTCGTCCTCCTCCTCCTGCCCTTCCTCATCCTCCTTGTCTCCTCCTCCTCCTCGTACTTCCTCATCTTCCATGCCTCCTCGTGTCCTCCCCTTCCTCGCCGTCCATGTCTCCTCCTCCTCCCACTCGTCCTCCTCCTCCTGCCCTTCCTCATCCTCCTTGTCTCCTCCTCCTCCTCGTACTTCCTCATCTTCCATGCCTCCTCGTGTCCTCCCCTTCCTCGCCGTCCATGTCTCCTCCTCCTCCCACTCGTCCTCCTCCTCCTGCCCTTCCTCATCCTCCTTGTCTCCTCCTCCTCCTCGTACTTCCTCATCTTCCATGCCTCCTCGTGTCCTCCCCTTCCTCGCCGTCCATGTCTCCTCCTCCTCCCACTCGTCCTCCTCCTCCTGCCCTTCCTCATCCTCCTTGTCTCCTCCTCCTCCTCGTACTTCCTCATCTTCCATGCCTCCTCGTGTCCTCCCCTTCCTCGCCGTCCATGTCTCCTCCTCCTCCCACTCGTCCTCCTCCTCCTGCCCTTCCTCATCCTCCTTGTCTCCTCCTCCTCCTCGTACTTCCTCATCTTCCATGCCTCCTCGTGTCCTCCCCTTCCTCGCCGTCCATGTCTCCTCCTCCTCCCACTCGTCCTCCTCCTCCTGCCCTTCCTCATCCTCCTTGTCTCCTCCTCCTCCTCGTACTTCCTCATCTTCCATGCCTCCTCGTGTCCTCCCCTTCCTCGCCGTCCATGTCTCCTCCTCCTCCCACTCGTCCTCCTCCTCCTGCCCTTCCTCATCCTCCTTGTCTCCTCCTCCTCCTCGTACTTCCTCATCTTCCATGCCTCCTCGTGTCCTCCCCTTCCTCGCCGTCCATGTCTCCTCCTCCTCCCACTCGTCCTCCTCCTCCTGCCCTTCCTCATCCTCCTTGTCTCCTCCTCCTCCTCGTACTTCCTCATCTTCCATGCCTCCTCGTGTCCTCCCCTTCCTCGCCGTCCATGTCTCCTCCTCCTCCCACTCGTCCTCCTCCTCCTGCCCTTCCTCATCCTCCTTGTCTCCTCCTCCTCCTCGTACTTCCTCATCTTCCATGCCTCCTCGTGTCCTCCCCTTCCTCGCCGTCCATGTCTCCTCCTCCTCCCACTCGTCCTCCTCCTCCTGCCCTTCCTCATCCTCCTTGTCTCCTCCTCCTCCTCGTACTTCCTCATCTTCCATGCCTCCTCGTGTCCTCCCCTTCCTCGCCGTCCATGTCTCCTCCTCCTCCCACTCGTCCTCCTCCTCCTGCCCTTCCTCATCCTCCTTGTCTCCTCCTCCTCCTCGTACTTCCTCATCTTCCATGCCTCCTCGTGTCCTCCCCTTCCTCGCCGTCCATGTCTCCTCCTCCTCCCACTCGTCCTCCTCCTCCTGCCCTTCCTCATCCTCCTTGTCTCCTCCTCCTCCTCGTACTTCCTCATCTTCCATGCCTCCTCGTGTCCTCCCCTTCCTCGCCGTCCATGTCTCCTCCTCCTCCCACTCGTCCTCCTCCTCCTGCCCTTCCTCATCCTCCTTGTCTCCTCCTCCTCCTCGTACTTCCTCATCTTCCATGCCTCCTCGTGTCCTCCCCTTCCTCGCCGTCCATGTCTCCTCCTCCTCCCACTCGTCCTCCTCCTCCTGCCCTTCCTCATCCTCCTTGTCTCCTCCTCCTCCTCGTACTTCCTCATCTTCCATGCCTCCTCGTGTCCTCCCCTTCCTCGCCGTCCATGTCTCCTCCTCCTCCCACTCGTCCTCCTCCTCCTGCCCTTCCTCATCCTCCTTGTCTCCTCCTCCTCCTCGTACTTCCTCATCTTCCATGCCTCCTCGTGTCCTCCCCTTCCTCGCCGTCCATGTCTCCTCCTCCTCCCACTCGTCCTCCTCCTCCTGCCCTTCCTCATCCTCCTTGTCTCCTCCTCCTCCTCGTACTTCCTCATCTTCCATGCCTCCTCGTGTCCTCCCCTTCCTCGCCGTCCATGTCTCCTCCTCCTCCCACTCGTCCTCCTCCTCCTGCCCTTCCTCATCCTCCTTGTCTCCTCCTCCTCCTCGTACTTCCTCATCTTCCATGCCTCCTCGTGTCCTCCCCTTCCTCGCCGTCCATGTCTCCTCCTCCTCCCACTCGTCCTCCTCCTCCTGCCCTTCCTCATCCTCCTTGTCTCCTCCTCCTCCTCGTACTTCCTCATCTTCCATGCCTCCTCGTGTCCTCCCCTTCCTCGCCGTCCATGTCTCCTCCTCCTCCCACTCGTCCTCCTCCTCCTGCCCTTCCTCATCCTCCTTGTCTCCTCCTCCTCCTCGTACTTCCTCATCTTCCATGCCTCCTCGTGTCCTCCCCTTCCTCGCCGTCCATGTCTCCTCCTCCTCCCACTCGTCCTCCTCCTCCTGCCCTTCCTCATCCTCCTTGTCTCCTCCTCCTCCTCGTACTTCCTCATCTTCCATGCCTCCTCGTGTCCTCCCCTTCCTCGCCGTCCATGTCTCCTCCTCCTCCCACTCGTCCTCCTCCTCCTGCCCTTCCTCATCCTCCTTGTCTCCTCCTCCTCCTCGTACTTCCTCATCTTCCATGCCTCCTCGTGTCCTCCCCTTCCTCGCCGTCCATGTCTCCTCCTCCTCCCACTCGTCCTCCTCCTCCTGCCCTTCCTCATCCTCCTTGTCTCCTCCTCCTCCTCGTACTTCCTCATCTTCCATGCCTCCTCGTGTCCTCCCCTTCCTCGCCGTCCATGTCTCCTCCTCCTCCCACTCGTCCTCCTCCTCCTGCCCTTCCTCATCCTCCTTGTCTCCTCCTCCTCCTCGTACTTCCTCATCTTCCATGCCTCCTCGTGTCCTCCCCTTCCTCGCCGTCCATGTCTCCTCCTCCTCCCACTCGTCCTCCTCCTCCTGCCCTTCCTCATCCTCCTTGTCTCCTCCTCCTCCTCGTACTTCCTCATCTTCCATGCCTCCTCGTGTCCTCCCCTTCCTCGCCGTCCATGTCTCCTCCTCCTCCCACTCGTCCTCCTCCTCCTGCCCTTCCTCTTTTCCCTCCGTCCATCTCGAATCCTCCTCCTCCTCGTCCTCGCTATCCTCGTCGTCCTCCTCGTCCACATCCTCCTCCTCCTCTCCATATCCCCCTCTCCTCTCCATATCCCCATCTTCCTGTCATACGCCCCCCCCGTCCCCCCTCCCAAAAAAGATAAAATATTAAAAATAATAATAATAATAATAAACCTGCACGATTCTGCACAGGCACCCCCAGCACGGAACTCCGCACGAATGTGCGGCTCGTGCGGTGGCAAGTATGATCCAGAGTCAAGAACTTCAAGTAGACAGAGTGAGAGGGAGGGAGAGAGAACGTATGCATGAAGAAGACGGATGGAGAGAGAGTGAGACAGAGAGAGAAGAGAGTCACCTACCTTGGATGAGGATGCTTGGAATTTCTAATCTGCACTAATCTGGACTTTGCATCCCTGGTCTCCAGTGTGGATTTCGTGTGATCTCTCAATGTGTGTGTGTGTGTGTGCTCAAGGTGACGAGCAGTGAGGCTCAATGCAGACATATGGTTTTCCTAAAAACAAAAAAAAATCCGTTCAATTCATCTGGTTTCCTTAGATGTCATTTGGCAAATCAGGAACAAACCTGGGCAAGATCTTCTCTGGTAGCTGCAAACACGGATGCTTTGTGCGGGTACTTTGCACGAAGGTATGGCCTGCATCACGAGCCAACACGCACACACACACACACACACACACACACACACACACACACGGAGAGAGAGAGAGAGAGAGAGAGAGAGAGAGAGAGAGAGAGAGAGAGAGAGAGAG